AAATATAAAATGCGATTAGCCAATAAATTTTAAGTAGGCCTATGTTTAGTAAATTCTGATTTTTTTCTGGAGGTTACTTTATTATAACCTTTATTAAGTATATAATTAGTAAATAGAATAATTTATGTTGTAAAAAATATATGTTCTAATTAAATTGAGCTAAGATATATGTATACTGTATCTTGTTTTCAGCGGACACGCCAGGAACAAAAGCGTATCTAGTGTCTAACATACGAATCCATCCTCAATTTAGCGAGTAAGGATCTTAATAATGTATTTACTCATATTTTTAGTACTTTTCTATTTCTACTCAATAGAGAGAAGACATTACTCTAATTTATATAAGTTAAGTATAGTTAATAACTTAAAGATGTCACGTGGAATACAAAAAACTTGGTGATTAAAAAGAGTGGCGGAGAGTTTATTGCCAGTTCTTCTCGTCCGTTCACTCTTGCTTTGAGAACTGGCAGTATATGTAAATCATACAATATAGACAACATCACGTGTTTTACATATGTAACATCACCTTTTAAATTGGTACATTTTAAATAGTAATTAATTTAAAATCTATTTCATTACTATATCTAAAATGTTCTTTCAGCGTTAACTACGATTATGACATTGCGATTATTACGGCAGCACAAAACATCCAGTTCAACGAATATGCCAGTCCTGTCTGTCTGCCCTTCAAGTTTGAAAACTACGATTTTGCTGGACAAAAACTCACGATTATTGGTAAGTATAAAAATCACACAACCTTTTTTAATTAGAAGCTGAACCAATATAAATTCATAAATTGGTTTTCCTAATAGCCTACTCCCGGGCGAGGTTTAATTAGTGGAAAGAACTAGATTGATAGAAGACAGATAGAGGAAGTTTTTATTCATAATAGTACGTATTCTAATGGTTAGTTTCTTACCCAAGTGTTCTCCAAGAACTGGGTTTCTTTGTACCTAGGGGATATGTGCGACGGCGAAGGCCTAGGTTGTTTGCGATACCAAGGGCCAGAATCAGTCACAGATCCCAGTTATCATAGACGTTGCTACTGAATGCTGTCTCCGACACTATCGACCGATCTTTTTATGTTCGCAGAGTAAGTTCACAGTAGCGATAAATTGTGTATATTAAGAATTTAATATTTTATTTTTATAATGAAATTTGAAAAGAAATAAATTTTAATTTCTACTTTGTATTGGCATTTTTTTACAGCGATTACATTATTTAATATAAATGTACATATCTTATATAAGTTACAGCAATATATAACAATAAAACTTTAATTAAAATTAAATAAAATAAAATTAATTTGAGTATTATACAAATTACATGTATACAATGAAATTTTGATAAGTGGCTCCATTTTTGCTATCATTTTTACAGGTTGGGGTACACTCTTTATCGGTGGTCCAACTCCCAATGTCCTGCAAAAGGTGGATGTGGATGTGATAAAACAAGATGTATGCAAATGGGCGGTACCCAGTCTTACCTCAAGACAGATATGCACTTACACACCTGGAAAGGATGCTTGCCAGGTATCTGAACCTAGACCTGGTCTAGGGTCTTGTCTCTTGACCATATTTTTAGCTATTATAATAATATTTTTTTGGTTTCGTAAAGGATTCTTATATTATATTTAGTTTGTGACACCTGAAACATATTCTAATTTGTCCGTGTAGTTCCAAATACGCGCAGTCTCTTATGATTTACTTTATTTATTAGTTTATCGTTTATTTTACTTATTTATTTATTAACACTTAATTGATTTTTTTCCCCAGTTTGATTCGGGCGGTCCACTGCTCTACACGGATCCACAGACCGGTCTGCTCTTCCACGCTGGTATTGTGAGCTCGGGAAGATTATGCGCTTCAGCCAACGAGCCAGGAGTGAATACGAGAGTCACAGAAGTACTTAACTGGATTGTTCAAAACGCACCAGCTGATTACTGTAGAAAATAAATGATATCTTTTGACTGTTTATATTTTTTACATTAAATCATTCAAATATTTATAATAATTTTTGTTTCAAGATAACATACTTATTACCATACCTACTATACAAACCATAACATACATACATTAATATCAATAATCTATCACTCGATGATTTTTTGTCTTTTCGTTTTGTTTGCCTATAAGAACTTGTCACATTAAATCTAGTACCTATTTTATTTTTCCAAAATTCCAATATATAACTGTGCCCAGCATTTGCAAAGGTTTTTAAAATAAATAAATTAATTCCATGAACACATTCTAACAAAGAAAATTATTTAATTGGGAAATAATATTTTTTCAATAAAAATCACAAGTTTTGAATATTTATGCCATTATTCGTAAAAACTAAATTAAATCGCATTTAAAAAAGTACCCATTCTTCACATTCTGTTACTCTGTGCTAAAAAGAAACAGGTCGAACTTTAGATGAGTCCTACTATCGGGAGTCCCTTGTACAAAGGACCTTCAACCTCTTAGGGTCTGGGCCGTATCTTAGATATAGACGTAACCTTTATTACAAACAAAACCACACACACACACATAAATCACATAATAACAATATGTAATCAAACAAAAAACTAAAATAAGAGATATTAAAAACAATAAAAAAAAATGCCTTTTCCCATTCGGTTCGTTTCAAGTGTGTAATGCGTGTATCTGTTTCGTTTCCCTTTTTGTAAAAGGCAGGTGATCAGCCACCTGTGCCTGCCATCGATTTTTTGGGTCTTTATCATGCCGGATTCCTCACGATGCTTTCCGTTAGAGCGTACAACTGGGGTTCGGACCTACGACCTCGGGGATGAGTGTCGCTGAAGCCACTTGGCCAAAGGTCTAAGCTGAGACGAATATTAATTAATTAATTTATGTATTAGTAATCTTACAGCTAACATACATATTATAAAACAAAAGATAAACAGTATATATGAAATAGAAAACATAAGTAAGTACATTAATAGACAAAAATAAAAACAAATAAATTTAACTGAAATTTAACAATAAACAGACAATAATGCGTAATATTTCTAAGAAACAACTAAATTGTTACTGCTAAAACAAGTCAGTCTTCCCGCTTCTTCAAATATTTCCTCACATTGGCGAATTATGCAGGTAATTCGTGTTCGTACGAGGAACAATAATTATTGTCAGTATCTTGTCGCATATGTTGGAAAGATTCTTCGAGAAATTAACGACATCAAATAGGGGCCATCTATCTGCCCATTAAGAATATCTCTGATAATGATGATCCGCAAAAATAATAAGTCTTACTGACTCCGTCGACATTCTCATAATGCTTTATTTGTACGAATACAATGGTATAATATAAATAAATAGTTATAAATAATAACTATTATATATAATAGACATAAATAGTTCATGAAAGCAGACCGAAGACCAGTCGGCGAAGCGTTGGAGGGCGTCCCACTAGGTGAATAGATGGCCTGGTGATGGAGGAAGGGTGGGTTGGTTTCAATGAGCGGGGAACCGGTCGTACTGGGGGGAGAGGCTTATGTCCAGCAGTGGACGTTGATATGCTCAAACGACGACATAATAATAATAATAAATCGTTTATTTGCAAAGAAAGTGGTACATTCAGATTGATTTAAAAAAAACACCGCACAATCAGACTTATAAAAATAGGCATGCAAATGTCATATTAATTATCATAATGTCTTAATAATAAGACCAGTTAATTATTAATGTTGTCAAAAACATATGGTCTAAATACCACGCTATAAAGGCACCATGCCTTTAAAAATTTAATCACCTTTCCCTGGAGAGCTGTGATGTGATGACATTATTGAAATAGATTATTATTACATCATCGATTTAATATAAATCACAATTACAAATCACATTAGTAGCAGAGAAGTGTAGACATCTAGGAAACCTTATCATCTTTTAAATTGTAATAAATTCCTTCACTCAATTAAACTTCTCGCCATACATGCTTAATATTCATGTAGTACAAAGAAAGTGATTAATTTTAATTGTTTTTTTATTTAAATGTGGTTAATTAGTCTATGTTACGGATATTACATAGATATAAGTAATATTGTATAAAATTACGTATATGTTGTTAAGTAAATTTGTGGTTTTTCGACTTTAAAAACTGTTCATCCGTTTAGGTATTACGATGAACATAAACAATTTATATAAATAACGAAATGGTTTGGATAAATGACTGGGGAGCTCAGCCTTGCGATTCCTTAACTCACTTTTCGTACTCTCACAGCGGTTTTCACAGTGGCGCGGCGGTCGCGCTCAAATCAGTCGTGAAGCAGTCATTTTACGATTTGGTATTTTGATAAACAATGAAAAGTGAGTTACAGAATCGCAAGGCAGGAGGGTGGAATGAAAGACGAAACGATAGAGACCTAACGGCATGTTGCGTTTACGCGTTGAGCGGACTAGAAATGGTGTTAATATCTTGTATAATATAGAACACTGACCAAATGGGCAGGGGGCTCACCTGATGTTCAATGATACCCGCCCATGGAAACTCACACTGCCAGAAGGCTCGCAAGTGCCTTGCCGGCCTTTTAAGAATTGGTACGCACTTTTATTGAAGGACCCTAAGTTGAATTGGTTCGGAAATACCTCAGTGAGCTCGTTCTACAAAGTGGTGGTGCGCGGCAAAAAGGCAGGACTCATTGTGAAACGTAAAGCCGAGGAATTTTAATAAAGCACTGCGTTACGTCCGTTGACTTATTATAACTGATCGATTATTGTCGGATAAAATGGATATTTTTCTCATGACTGATTCCGGTTTCGTGTGGAGAAAGGGCCTCACTATCCAGGAGTCAAGAAGAGGGCGCATTTACGTTCTATACCTAAAACTATCATATAAGTATTAATAATAGATTAAAAGTACTTTAAATTTTTAACCAAAGTCACGTTGATTTAAAGTTAATTAACATGTTAATTTGGCAATGATAATTTTGTTTTTACTTCAAAATTTAGTATAAAAGATAATGACATTTATTTTATAGTCAAAAGCAACCTTCAGAAATGTGGAATAGTGATACATTGGTGAATTTTTGTTATTTTTTATTTTCTCTAACTTTATATTTTTATATTACAACTATTTTTTTATTTTTTTCCAGATATTTAGAATACTTTATGTATTCTCTTGTTTTGTCTACGTCCGGGCACAGAATGGGAGATGTGCTTACAATATCAATGTAATTATTTATCAATATTTTAAATTAATTTTAATTAAGACTGTTTTGGCTATATTACTCAGGTCTCCTGTTAAATTGTTAACTTGAAATAGTGTTTTTAATATATAGTAAGTCCTGATAAAAATATAAATACCTCATTGAATCTGAACAATAGATCGATATTTAAAACATATTGAAGATGTATAACATATATTTTGTAGGTACAACCGGGACAGATATACAGTATAGACTGTCCGAGATATAGTTCATGTTATTCTCAGTGCTCATGGGCGCTTTCTTGTCCCTCGGGGTACAACTGTAGGGCGGACTGCCAAATGAACGTGCCTGCGGTAAGAATTAATTATTTATATAATAATCATGTCTACAGTTCGCGACTGTTCTATTGTCTGTTGCAAGGTGTATAACAATTTTTTTATCTGTAACAATGGAGGACAACAAAAATGGTAAATAATAATATCAACTATGTTGATTATTTGGCTGAATCAACAGTCCAGAGAAATATAACGATTTCAATCTTCAATCAATAGACATGATCTAAATTTATTATTACCCTTTATTAAAGACCAATTTTATTCGTTTTCCATTTTTAACTATGTAGGTAAAAAGTGTGAATAATCTTATAATTCGTTATATAACTGTTCACGTAAATAATATATATTTTTAAAGTACATGACGACAATAACGCAAAATAATAAATTTAATATAATCCAAAAGGAAAAATATACCTAAGCCAGTCTATCAATAATTAATAATTATATTTCATAGTGGTGATGAACAAATACTTATTAAGAAAATATAAAACCAATTGAAATATTTGTAGTATTTATTACATACTTGACTTGAATTTTCAGAATCAGCAATGCTCAAGAGCGCAATTACAAGTTTCCAAAAGTGGTGACCCAAGTCTTCGTGATGCTGAAGTGTATTGTGGACAAGGAACTCTGACTGTAGTGTCAACTAAACAGAATCTTATTATAAGTACGTAATGTATATAATTTTTTTAATTCTTTTCAAAACAGTCTTAACAACATTGTTTTAGTTTTTGTGAATTAGTAGGTAATGTCAAAAATTCTACTATCATACAACATGAATGTGTAAATTTCTAAAAAATATAATAATTCTATACAACTGCGTGTTTTTAAAATTTAGCCATCTTTTCGCGACCATAATTACAAGGAATCATAGCATAGTCTGTGCAGATATAACATTTATATTTTACCTTCCAGATTTACTAACTCCTGACGGCGTGGGATATTTCTCGTGTAACGTAATAACACAGCGTGTTCTACCACCACCAACCTGCAATTGTGGTATCAAGAAAGATGTGAGTTTTAGCTATTAATACCGTAAATTTTGATTATCAATCACTTACGTTTAGTTTCATTGTACAATTTTGAAGTTTTTTGACAAATATTTACCCCCAAAAACGCACGTTTTTCGCTCAACGCTTTTTCACCGTCAGAAGCCCGTTCATCTTAAGCCACATTAAAAGCAAAAGTTTAACGCGTTTATTGCAATCTTAAACAAAATCATCACAACCAGTCCTATGCTAAAACGGAAAGTATTCTTATTGTGCAACAATAGTTTAATTATAAAACGTAAGGCGCCTGTTATATGTAAAGTATTTATGTGTACCTAACAGGCGAATCACAATTCGTCAGTTCAGTATTTGTTCATTGCTTTTAATGATGGATTAATGCACCAGACACACGTTCAATATTTATTACGTCAGTATATAGTCCGGTTCTTGCTGAATAAACGTTAAAATGGAGAAAGAGTTACAAAAATTAAAGCTACTACTAATACAAAATAATAATAATAATAATAGATACTTGAGAAGCGTTGATACATACATGTTCTTCGAGACTATATAAAGTCAGTGAGTCAAAAATCTTATTGAAAGCAATATTTATTTATAAACTTAAAGTTACATAAAACTTATCCATCTACCTAAAAACATATTGTGTTAGGTATTCAAGTACATCTAAAAGACTTGAAAAGTGACCCTATTGAGATTAAACGTTCAATATTTATCACATTCTGAAGGATCGTCAATACGGAATCAATAAATCTAGAAATCCATTATTAAATATTGACATTCATCAGTACGCTAGTTACAGTTCGGCGAAACACAGTAAATACTTTATGGTGGCTGTACACACTCGGCGAGAGCTTCTCGCCGGGAGTCTCGACCGAGAGGACCGAGAGAAGAGCGCAGCCTGTACACACTCGTTACGTTAATTGTATTTAAAACACCGTTAATAATGGACGTGGCAACTGCTGCTGCTGTTTGTCTTTGTGCAATGAGTTATTATAATTTTCTTCACGTTAACCATTAAAAAAAATACAAAGCCATGGCGAAGAAGAAGATGGGCACTATACACCGCAACAGAAATTGGTAATTAGGATCATAAAGTTTTAATATTATCCAAAATTTAATGATTGAACGAGTGTGTACAGGTCGCTCTCGTTTTACTCGCGAGACCCTTTGACTCGTGCGCAAAAAACCGACAGGCGACCGAGAGAGGCGAGACCAACTGCGAGGAAGCGAGACGAGACGAGAGCTCTACTGTACACTCTCGCACTCGGTCTGTCTCGGGGTGTCTCGACGAGTGTGTACAGCCACCATTACGTGTAACAGGCGCCTTAGTGTTGGGTAGAAATTATTGTCAAGTACCGTTAACATGTCAAAAGGAAGAGACTGGCCCACGATACAGGGAATCCTAGTACACTTTCTTATTAACTAAATATCCTTTTTTATTATGTGTAATAAAGTTTTTCTGACGTTTCATTCCTTTTTTAACTTATTTCGTTTGGAACATAAGTAATGTTTCAATCCGCTGTAAATTATTGTTAGGTATATTAAATTTATAGATACTCATTTCACGATACAGAGACGCATAGTAAACGGTCAAGATACCATCCCAAATGAATATCCTATGATGGTTGGTCTTGTGGAGCGTGGGAAAGATACATTTGTGTGTGGAGGCACCATCATCTCCAAGAAATATATCGTCACAGCTGCCCATTGCATCGTAGGAAAGATAGCCTCCAATTTGGGGGTGGTGGTAGGAGAACATGATGTTTCACGAGGAGGTATTTTCTGTCTTTAGTCTATGAGGCGAACGGTATTTACCCCCTTATAAATGATAAATCTGTACTGTGTAGCCTTAAAAAAAAGAAAAGGGAAGTTGGTGATCAGCTTCCTGTGCCTGTGCGTGTATCAACATGTGTGTTTTTGTGTCCAAGGCATGCTTGTTTACTCACGATGTTTTCCTTCACTGTTCGAGCAAATTTTAAATGCGCACATAGTCAGAAAATCCATTGGTGCATAGCCGGGGATCGAACCTACGACCTCAGGAAACCTCAGGACACACACTAAAGCCACGAGAGCAACACTGCTATACACCTCATTTGTCTCTTTACACATCAGCGTGATATGACAGAAAGAGACAAAAGAATGTTATATGGGCTCGATTAAAACATTGTTCATCTAAAATTTTTAAACAATTGGTGTTTGCTGAATTCATATTTAATTAAATTAATTAATTTATCACTTTAATTCCATACTGTTAAAAAGATACGTATCAAATGGGTGTTTGTTTTGTTATTTTACTCTTAGTTATTGTTATTTCCCTTTCTTTGTTCAGTATGGGCCCCTTTTGGGTAAAGGCCTCCCACCGAACTGTCCATTTAGATCTATTGTTAGCTACCTCCATCCAATTGCCCCCAGAAACCTTAACTAAGTCGTCAGCCCATAGCTTTTGTGGTCTTCCCGCGTTTATTTTACCTTCCTTATACATATACTATACCCTCTTTTACCCAATACACAAAAGCCCCTTGTTTTAGACGATTCGACATCGACCAAAGGCTACGCAGTTGCAGGTTTCAGAACCCATCCCAATTATAATAGGTGAGTACTTATATTTTTAATATTGATTCAATTTAAATTTTTTCGTCATATTTTCTAGATCCATCCATGTATACTAAATATTACAGGATCTTTGTGTATTGATAGCCGATATACGGTGTTTTATTAATACGATAAGCTTATATTAGGTCCTTACATATGAAATTGGCGTTTTGTATGGGAGGAACAAAAAGTCGAATATTTTTAAATATAATATATTTAATTAATCAAAGTATGAACCATTGTTTTCTATGCACTTTTGCCATCTCATAGGTAGTCCATTGATCCCTTTACTAAAAAAAACAGTCGGACGGGAATCAATAAAATCTGTGAAGGCGATTTGGACTGCCCCATCAGAGTTAAACTTTTTCCCTTGCAAGAAGTTGTCCAAATTTCGAAAAAAATCGTAATCTGTTGGAGCAAGGTCCGGGGAGTACGGAGGATGTCTTAGACATTCCAATTGAAACTCTTCTAATTTGGTAGCCGTCTGTTGTGCAGTGTGTGGTCTAGCGTTGTCGTGAAGTAGCAGTGGCGTGGAGCGATTGACCAGCCTAGGTTGTTTAGCCTCTAGCTTTTCAATCATGGTTTGCAATTGCTGACAATAGACATCAGCCGTAATAGTCTGGCCAGATTTGAGAAACCTCAATGAACAATACCGGCACTAGTCCACCAAACGCTTACAAGTAACTTTTTTGGGGTTAATTTTCGCTTGGGGCAGGATTTGGCTGGCTGGCCAGGATCCAACCATTGCGCTGAGCGCTTCCGATTATCGTAAAGAATCCATTTTTCATCACAGGTAATGATTCGGTTTAAAATACCTTCATTATTGTGCCAGTTCAGTAATGTAACGCAGCAGTCGACGCGCGTTTGCCGGTTTGCTTCAGTCTATTCGTGAGGTACCCATCTTTCAAGCTTTTTAATCTTCCCAATTTGCTTCAAGTGAATTAAAACAGTTTTATCACTAACACCGTAGCCTGCAGCTAACTCGGAAGTGGTTTGCGATGGATCCGCTTCCACAATAGCCTTCAATACTTCATTATCAACTTGGGTCTCAGGCCGTCCACGGGGCTTGTTCTGCAGGTCGAAATTTCCAGAACGAAAACGTTGGAACAAAAAACGAACTGTGTTTTCTTTTGCAACATGATCGTCATACACATCATTCACCCTTCGAATCGTTTCCGCAGCACTAGTGCCATGGCGGAACTCGTACTCGTAAATAATGCGATACTTTAAGTTTTCCATTTTGTAAAATGAGTGACGCAAACAGAAAAAAACAGAAGAAAAAAACAAATGAATGACGGTCATCAAAGCACAAATACATGAGTAAATAGCTGTAGAAATTTGAATTTGGAATTCCTTACCAAAGAGGAGAACATCGTGATTAAAGTGGCCAGTACGAAAATCGCCAATTTCATATGTAAGGACCTAATATAAGCCTAATCTATATCATATAGATATATGCTGTATTGCCTACTAATACTAAGATATATGATCCTACAATATTTTTATTTACCTCCTCTGAAAATTCCTTCTCACAGCTAATAATACAATAAAGTGTTTATTTATTGAAGTTAACCATATGATATATGATGTATTTTCAACAGTATATGTTAGCAAACAATTATGGTAAAAATAGATGTTTCAAAAATTAAAAAAAATTACTAGTAATGCACACTTAACTATGTTTTTATTTAAATTGATCAGCCCGCTACGGAATATATCAAGCTCTGGATAAGCAGTGTTTATTCTGTTATATTCGAGAAGAATTAGAATGAATGTTGATATATAAATTTAAATAAATCATTATTTAAACATCAGATTATGATGTATATCACAATTATGTATCATTTATTTTGAACTCATTTTACGAACCAGTACTCGCATGTTCTGCAACAAATTTCAATATCATTAAGGATTTTACCAACATTTCTGTACAAAATATTTTTTGTAAAATATAAACAATAAACGGAAATATTATAATATATAATTATCATAATATTTTATAATAATTAAAATATTGATATATTGCTGTATTACTTCGGGCAGAAAATAATAAACGGCACAAGTATAAGAGTCTTTCCTCCAACTTCGATTTTGTTCCCTTTGGAGTAGAGACTCTTGGGCCGTGGGGTTCAAGTGCACAGGAGCTTATTAAAGATTTAAGTTGGCGCCTAGTAGATAGTACCGGTGACCCCAGAGCTGGCACTTTCCTAGCTCAACGAATAAGTATCGCAATACAGCGAGGAAATGCTGCCAGCGTTAAAGGTACCCTGCAACAGGGACCAAACTTTTTAAATTTGTTTTGATTTTTGTAATTATTTTTATTATTACTTTGTACTTTAAGAAAATTGTAAATACTGTATACTTGATTTTAACATAATATCATCTATACATAACCCTTAATTTTCAGTTCTACATACGACTATGACGTAGGTCTCCTAGCATTAACAGAGGATATACAATTCAGTAAGAACGTAATGCCAGTATGTTTACCGTTCAAGTTTGCAGGCTATAGCTTCACTGGGGAAAAGCTTACTATACTAGGTAAATATTTTCTATCAATGTTTATTCCATAACTTACCTTGAGAGCAGGCTTGGCTTACGAAAAGCCGAATAAAAGTGGCGTTGGAAAATTTGATTTGATTGTAAAAAAATTAACGATGATCGTCATATACCGAAAACTAACGTATGCTATAACTAACGTATTGTATAATTTTAGCCCAATTTCTAGTCTAAACTCTTACTTTTATTTTAATTTTTTTAAAGTATTTAAACACGTCGTATACAATAAATGACTTTTTTCAAGCGTTTGACAAAGTTAACCATGCGATCATTATCTGGAAGCTTTCAGATTGTTGTATACATGAAAGCTTGTTTAAATGGGTTACCTGTCACATTAAATACCGCCACCAAATTGTCGCAATTAATGCTTATCTCTCTGAAGCTTTATCAGTGCCCTCAGGTGTGCCCCAAGGGTCTCAAGGGCCCCTTACTATCTGCTTTATTTATTAATGATGCCCTAGCTTATTTTAATGCTGATGATCTTCACATTGGAGGAACCTTAACAATTGTATTAGTCTCCGGAACTATCGTTCCATTCTGTTCACATATCTGTCTGCATTAGACACATATATAATGAATAATAAATAATCTACATAATTTAATGAAATTAAATGTCAGTAAATGTCATATACAAACTAAACCAACAAATCATTTTTTCTATCACATTAAAAACCTAACATCAATTCGTAAATTTTCTACAAGAGACCTTGGGGAACTTATTGATTAAAAATTAAATTTGATTAAACACATCAATTGACAGCAAAGCTAATAAAATGCTAGGTTTTATATCAAGGTCCTCTTCATCCTTTGAAAACGATAAAAGTACAGTAACTCTTTACTGAACACTTGTTTGTAGTATTTTAGAATATGCTACTGTAATCGGGTCTGGACATTTCAAATGCACATAAGTACCATTGAAACAGATCAAAAACGTTTCCTTAGAAAGCTTTGCAATCGTCTACACTTGCGTGGTCTAGCTAAAGAACGAGGCTCGTTTGGACTACTATTTCAAGTTAGATACTCTAAAACTCCGACGTGACTTCATTGACGTTGTTTATTTGTATAAAATATCTAACTTTAATACTCATCTTCTTGCAAAATTTTGCTTTCTTTGTAATTCTAGAGTTACTAGAACTAAAAGTCTAGTAGGTTATCGCTTATCTGCTAATTTTAATGAATAATTGAACAGGCTATCTCGGCTCTTACAACTTAATTACCAATATTAATGAAAACATTGATATATTTCATAACAATCTTTTTTAAGCTCTTAATGGAGTTTTAATCTCTTAATGGTAACATCAACGAATTTTGTTCTTGAACAATTAGTATCAATTAAGAAACGCATTCATTACTCACAGGATGGGGTACTATCTTTATTGGGGGTCCGAAATCAGATGTCCTTCAGAAGGTCCAAGTAGATGTGATTAGTCAGAATGACTGCAGCAAATATGTGTCATCTCTGACCCCGCGTCAGCTATGTACCTATACACCTGGTAAAGACGCATGTCAGGTAAGGAATTGTACTTCAGGTCAATAATTTTTATAGCTTTGTCGAGGTAATTATATAAATTAAATTCTTCCGAAAATTATTCCGTTGTATAAAATATGATAAAGATATTCTTCATATCTATATTAATAAATAAGAGCCAAAGTTAAAGTCAAGTCATTTATTTCAATTAGGCCTATTAAAAAGGCACTTTTGAAAGTCAAAATTAGAAGTTAAATAATTAAAAATTACTCTAGTTGCCCCTTCCAAAAGGTAGTTTCATATGGAGAAGAAAGGGCAAGAAACTCCACACTTTCTCTTTTAAAATAGTTTGTACAATATTTTGGATACATTGATTTGATAATTATATGTGAAGAGCATTTACCTAGAACAAAAAAAAGTACTATACTAAAATAAAATAGGCGCATGGTATTATAAAAAACAATGCAGCAGATAACTAAATTATTATATAGGTACATGTGCTCACATATTTAAAAACATTGCAACTATATACTTAACATTTTTCTTTATTCTGTATTTGATAAATCATGTTGGAAAACCTAAGCTCGGCTAAGTTTATGCGTTTTAAAAAACATTATATGAACAAGAAAACTACGAACTACATAGAAAGCGATATAACTCATAAAATATTAATAAAATGTATTTCAGTTCGATTCAGGTGGTCCCCTGCTATACACAGACAGAGAGACTAGTTTTCTCTTTCTTGCTGCCATGGTGAGTAAGGGAGAGCTTTGTGCCGGTCTCAACAAGCCAGCAATCAATACAAAACTGACGGAAGTACTTGAATGGATTGTCCGGACAGCTCCAGATGAATATTGTGAAAAATAAATACTTAAATATCTATAAACACGTTATGTTTGTTATATTGTGTTAGTAAATTTAATTTGGTGAATTAAACGAGTGTCATAAAATAACGTCTATGTGTATGTATTACATCAGTACTAACTCAAACTCAAAATAACATTATTCATATAGGTAAACAAGTACAATTATGAACGTCAAAAAAGAAGTTAAATTAATTGTTAATTACATTTACTACCAGTTCGCAAGTCAAGGGCGTAGAGCGGGCAAGAAGAACTGGCAAGAAACTTTCCGCCACTATTTTAATCGCTAGGTTTTGAGTCATACATATTGTTTGTACTGGAGCAAATCAATCCCAAAGATTAGGATCATTTAAATATTCGTCAAATTTATCAAAGGCTTTATTGATTAACTTACGCGTAACGAGGAATTTTGAATTTATTTAGTGACAATTCTCTAATTTCGCTTGAGAGTTTGTTGTAAAAACGAATACAATTTCCATATAAATAGTGGTTTATCTTTTGGAGCCTTGGACGACTTGGTTGGTCGTACACTCAAATTAGTCCTATTTCGCGTAGTATACTTGTGAAAGTAACTATTTGTTTTAAAATCTTTATATATTATATATAAAATGTTTATATTTTTTTGTACATACAACAAGGCTTTAAGAATATATTGACCAGATAGTGTCATAATATTACATTCCTTAAACTTAGTCCGTACCGACTCCGTCGGAGAAACACAACAAATATCCCGAACAGCCCGCTTCGGCAGCACAAATTTGGATTAATACGCTATGAAAGTAGGTATGATACACAATTTTAGCCGTGTCCTTATCAGTAAACTGTCGGATTTTCTTTACTACATATGCTGCAGAGCTCAGCCTATTCGAAAGAGTCTCTATGTGTGGGCCCCACTGAAGTTTATTATGTCTAAAAAAACAGTTTTATCAACAAAGTTTAGTTCACTCTCCTTATCTTTCAGGTTGCCAATATCTAGCTTTAGATTGCTAGGTTCGATTACCCGCGAAAATGCAGCAGAACCTGCATGAGATGATAATTATAAAATATTTATTTATTTTAACTTCGTTACATAAAATAAAATAACATTATTATTACTATAACTACTATAACTAATCGCTAACAAGCGATCTCTTCCAGGCAACCCTAGCAAAGGAGAAATATATATCTATCAAAAAAATTATGTCTTAGTAGGAGTTATAATTCATGTTAATAAACTTTGCAAACTATCTTTTGTAAGCATTTAAATTTTGCGTTGAAAGAAGGAATTCTTAAAAAAGTTATGTAAGATTCATATAGAGGTTGACACTATCACATACCTTGGTAGAACCTTTTAGCCTTGTAGTTCAGTGAAACTGAGATTACCTTAAAATAACGGCTTGATAAGAATTCAAGAAGAGTTGAAGGATTCTGACATTCAACTTTATTATTCGTTAACCCTCCACTAGATGGCGGTGTTTTCTGCGCCATTCTTAAACAGTTCATAATATAATATTATATATTCTATAAAATTCGTATGTTTTATGTTTGACATTGAAATGAAAGAATTTTAAAACGGCGTTGCGAAACTATTAAATAAAACTTCTATAAAACACGAATACATGTTTGATACAGATTGTTACATTGAGCTCTGGTGATTTTAATTTGAATAAAAGGCATTCAAAACGCTCAAAAGCTTACGATATCAAATGCAGAACATTTTTATTTCACTTTCATTTGTGAACTTTAAAGGTTTAACCTAATTTGTGAAACAACGCAGTCGGATGTAATCTTTCTAATTCATCAACCCTCTTCGAGATGGCGTTGATAACAATAACGTGCCCCTCAGCCGCGTTGTCTCCAGCAGTATTGATCTTACCTCCCAGACAAATTGACTTCGTCCATACAACGTCCTAATTTAGAATCTAAATAGTCTTATTCGTGATGTGTATTATATATATTAAATATGAATTGTAATTCTTGACAAAGTGCAATTATAAATATGGGAAAGATAACTATAAAACCGATCACCAGGTAGAAGAAAATGCCGAAACGTATACCATTTCACGTTGTTTATGCAACAAGTAAGTTTAATATATAAAAATAGGTTTATTTAATTACATATACATATTTTTAATGCAAACTTTTGTACACATCTTAGTTTATCAGTCGTGATTATGTAGATACTATATAAATATCCAAACTCACTGATTAAGTTAAATATGTATAGTCATATGTACTATATTTAAATCTCTGGTATTAATATACCTAAAGAAGTTTTTGCATATAAAAAAAAGAAGCAAAAGGAAGTTTTTATTGACATCTCTGAACCTAAATCATAGAACCTCCTCTATTGTCACAGATTGACTTTAGTTTTCTATTTAGTAATAGCGACCTTTCCTTTCACACAACTGGATTTTAATTTTGTAAAATATTTTAAAAAAAGCCTCAACTCAAGGATAATGTAGCACTCTAATGAAAGACTTTGAAATTGGTCTAGTGGTTTTTAAGTTTATTCGTTACAACATATAATCTTAGTGTAAAATATATCTTACATCTTTATAACATTCAGTATATATGTTACTGTAAAAGCTCGAACTACGGTTAATCTTAAGATTTAGTGTAAGTCTTAGGATTTACCGACATGAGTTGGTTAATGTAAGTATTTCTGAAAATATGACGATTTTTTCGAGCTTTTACCATTCGAATTCGGTATATGCTAGGTTTTACCACTGTCAGCTGGTAGATGTTGGTTTTAGGAATAAAACAATGAGTAATTCTTAATTATTTACTTTAATGAACTATTAGACAAAACAGGTACAAAGTATTATAAAGGTATCATATGATAGTAATAAGTACAAACTAATACCAACTTACTTAAATTATTTTGAAAAAACACATAACATATAACTCTGAATATCTCACCTACATAAGGTACCTAAAAAAACATTTCACTTGTTACAACACGGATTGCTATTCTGGCATTTAGAACTACAAAGTAATGCTGATGATCTGCAGGTGCATTTTTTTGTTTTTCAACATTTACCGTGCCAAAATCCTAAGATTTACCAACGGAATGGTGGTAAGAGTTCGAATCGCAAACCTTTTTGGACATTTACCATTAGCAATTGGTAGATCTCAGGATTTACTGCAGTTTGAGCTTTTACAGTAACATATATAACAAATAACGTCAGATTCATTTGATTTGCGCAGAAAACGCTGTTTATGTTATGATTATTAGGGTCAATTATAAATGCACCCGCAATGCAGTGGATCTCTTCCCATATATATTCAAAGCTTGATAAGTTTAAGTTCACTACCGGACAGTAAAATTAAAACTTATGACTGAGATCAAAAAGTATAAAGTATTGGGTTTTATAAACCCAATACGAGTCGTAATGGTTACTGCCGCGGGCTCGTCAGTGTAAGCTAGATTGTATTTTAAGATTCATTTTGTATTAAGTACGTTCTTATCACGACAGAAATAGTTTCTTCGTTTACATTTGCAAGAGCTTTAAAAGCTACAAATGTTTTTTTAAATATAAACAATGACATCTTTTAGGGCTTAATTATACTGCAAAAGTAAGATTGCCACGCCGTTTTGATTTAGATAAAATAGTTATAGAGACGAAAAGAAACCGTCTATTATTCAAGAGTTATAGAATGTTGACAAAGGTTATTAATAGTGTTAAACTTATCAAACACACAAATATATAGTATAATATTAATTAAAATTACAATAATTGACTACAAAAATAGTTCAAAAGTGCTAAAATGTGAATTTTGAGAGAAGTGTGGCAGACATAAGACAGCATTTAGCATATTATTCCTAAGCCATTAGCAGTGTTGGCCTTGTGGCTTCAGCGTGCGACTCTCATCCCTGAGATCGTAGGTTCGATACCCGGCTGTGCACCAATGGACTTTCTTTCTATGTGCGTATTAAACATTCGCTCGAACGGCGAAGGAAAACATCATGAGGAAACCGGCTTGCCTTAGACCCAAAAAGTCGACGCTTGTGTCGTGCACAGGAGGCTGATTATTAGATTGACAAATGATCATTAAACAGATACACTATACAGAAATTGAGGCCCAGACCTAAAAAGGTTGTAGTGCCACTGATTTATTTATTTCAGCCATATAAAAGGCATCAACCTATATGTATTACTACACCCTCACACAAAGGCGTGTATAAATCTATTCAGTATAGGATCGATACAACGTACTGCGTTGAAATATTTATCTAGTCTAGACTTAGTCCAAGAGAGGCAGTATAGAAAAAGGATATTTTTTTAAATTAATTTCCATATACAATGTTACACACCTACATAGTAATAATAATAATTAAAAATTAATAAATACAATATTAAAACAAATTTAAAAAATTTCGTCCCTGCGGCTGCAGCATTTCCTAGCTGTATGGCGATATTTATTCGTTGAGCGAGCAAAGCACCAGCTCTGGGGTCACCGGTACCATCAACCAGGCGCAAACTTAAATCTTTAGTTTGCAAATAAATATATTGTAAATGCTGTATATTTGTGTGTTGAAAATAAAGTATATTATCAGATGTATGCAAATATAAATTTAGATACACCGATACACACCAAAATCCTTGTATTACGATACTTCGTTTATAATTTATCGAGGTTGCCTATGGTTGGGTTTCAACAAAAGACAGAGAATCCAGAGTCGAACGGCGGACTATTTACGTACGTTAAATGTAGATCTTGCTAGTCATATCAGTCTTGTTCGAGTTGGGGTGACTTTTAGGGGTAAAAATCGAACCCGTTAAGGTAAGCTGGAATCTTCGAAATTTCATTATTTTTTAAAAATTAAGTCTTTTATATATTTCCGTTATAGTATAATATCTCCTTTCTTGCTATAGTATATCTGCATTAATTTGCGATTAATATGATAAGGGGTAGGACTGATTATTTAGATCTACTTCTTGGAGTAGATACACGTATAGATGTGAAAGCATCTTCCTCCAGTAATAGCCGACACCTTATATTATCTCAGTTTCCTGCTTT